TTGTTCGTGCTGCTGCCTGCAAGCTTCTTACCCTTTCTGAGTAGAGGCGGCAGCTGAAAAACAATCGCAACTGAAAAGTGCGTAATAGCAGTCAGCAGCAGGAGACTTCAGCGTTTGGGTTGAACTGCATGGCAGTGCTTGCATGGGAGGAGTACTGCAGGTGAGGCCGAGACGGTCTGTAAAGCTGTGGCACGCATGGGCCTGCCACTGTCGTGTGTCTTGGCCAGTTTGTGGAGCTCCTGACTCATTAGCGGAGCTGTCTGTGAGAGCACACTGATAGCGCAACGAATAGATTAGTTTAAGTCTCCCTTGGCTTAATGCTGCAAGGCATTGGACAGGGCGTGTTCACAGGCTCACGCAGCCTCCTCTTGCAAAGCGTGCTGAACAGCATAAGAACGTCTTAAACCCCTTCAGCGTCCATCACAAACACGTGTCCCTTTTTTTAGTCCTTATTCTGAAGCCTCACTGATGTGTCTGAACATCTCACTTCTGCAGATCCTGCTCATCTCGGATTATTTCTATGCCTTCCTCCGGCGGGAGTACTACCTCACTCACGGACTCCACTTGACAAGGCCAGATGGGACAGAGGCCATGCTTGTGCTGAAGTAAGGACTGTGCCCACCGTTCCCTGGGACACGGACCACTCCAAGGAACACGGAAAGCTTGGGGTATGTGGGGTGGGTGGGGAAGGTTCCCTGAATGAGGTCTGACTTTGGGAATGATACCTACTGAAAGAAAGGGCTGAGGTTCTTCTGGGAAAACCCTCCTGAGGTGCGGGCTCAGTGCAAAGACTGAAAGAGCTACACGTAGGAGCTGCAGTGCCTCTGTTGGAGCATCCCCCTCTTCCCTCAGCCCTGCTTCTCACTTCCACCAGGCAGTCCAGCAGGAACTGGCGAAAGTGTCTGAGCTAAAACCAGGGCTGGATCTCTGTCCCAGAAAGAGCTCAGGCCATGAACTGTTTACTGTACTATCACTGCTTCTGGGAGAGGTTTGCTTCTCCTGGAAATTTCCCCTTCACTGCTTTGACCAGTAATGCTCCTCTGGGTACCTGGTGCCTAAGCCCTGCCTGCAGCTGCCATTTCTTGGTTCTCCTACTGTTGTGGGATCTGGAAAAATCCCATGTGGGTGGTGGGTGCTTGTGAAACAAATGGGTGACCAAGGCCGAGTGACCTGTTGGAAGGAGGACAGCTGAAGCTGCTGCCACAGGTAATCTTGGCGCTCCAACACCAGTAAGAACTGGAGTGGGGGTGAAAGCAGGAGCACGGTACGGGGTAACTGCTGTGTCTCGTTCAAGCGACACAGATGGTTTCATGTCAGGAGCTGCACAGAGGCATTACAGGGTCTCAGAAGAAGGAACGCTGCTATGGAGGTGGACTCCCACTACTCCTTGTTTCTGTAGGGTAGCAAAGCTTGGCAGTGCAGGGCTCACACTACCGTGGTGATTGCTTGGGGCAGCAGCCTGGACATGGACTGAGCAAGCTGCCTGCCTGGGCTAGGGACCAGGAGGTGTCAAAAATCTCCCCTTTAAGGCCACAGGCCAAATCCAGAAAGAGCCTCAGCCACTGCTGGGGTGGAGTTGTTGGGCTCCAGGTGTTCCACAGCCACTTAGCGCTGGGGACAGGCGCTTCCCGGGTTACCCTCCTGCAAGTACAGCGACGGCATCTTGTGGCTGTGCGCAGAGGCCCCCCGTTAAAGCAGCACCCCTCGCTTCCCCCACGGCTCCCCTCCGTCCGGGCTCAGACCAGCTCACGTGGGAGCTGCTGCTGCTGACGCCGTGAGTGTGACCAGCGGGGGCG